ACCAAATGCCATCCCCAGGGCGACCCTCAGCAGGAGATGGGAAATGGAGAAGGGAAGGGCTGGGAGGTAGCTTGAAAGGTAGAGGGGAAATGTGAAAGTTGCGACGAGCCACCCGAAAATCTCCACGTGATCATTTTCGTAAAGTACCCACACATGCACACATGCACATGCACCACAGCATTTCACAGTGTCAACGTTAGCCAGTGCCTTTTCCCCCTTTTCCCCCTAGAATATGCTGAGTTTGCCACTGGACTCCCATTTTGGAGCAGCACATTGGAGACCCATGAAATAAATCTGTTCYTGTCACTGCAGCATCGCCAGCGGCGATCACAACCCAAACACTTGACAGGAACTCTRCTCCTCGTGCTCCCAGGAGAGCTGAGGGCTGCAGAAAACTGCAGTGTTTTCTGGACCATGTCTATTTTAGTGCAGCTCTCCATCAGCCCTCCCCAGCCACGCACAGATGTCGCAGCCACGTCTGGGATGAACAGATGGGAAGGTGTTTCCGTGCCACCACCACTCCCACGTGGTTTTTGGCCAGGAGAAGAGACAAGGATGGGCTTTGTCTGTCCTCAGATGGCTGCCAGGGCTCTGGGGCTGTGGCACTGGCACTGTCCTTCACAGTGGGCTGGGTCTGGCAGGTAGAAGTGTCTGAAGCAGCCAGCGAGGGGACTCAGTGCATGGAGATAAAACATCTCCAGATGAAGAGGAGCTGAAATGCCCTCCCAAGGCCTGGGTGGCTCTGGAGGGATGCAGAGGGCATTGCTCCTCCTTGGACCTGCAGGGATGCAGGGGAGGGAAGAGAACAGTCAGGAATTGTCTGGGGAGGACAAGAGAGGGGCGTCACATGCTGCTTCTGCATGGCTGCCCCACGGGAATCTGCTGGTCACTTCTGGGGTATGGGGTCACTGCTGGACAGGGCTGGACAGTTGGCACAGCACCGCACTGCCCTCGTCCTGCACGGCCACCAGACAGCTCACAGCCTTGGGGACACTGACAACTGCCACCAAACAGGCCTTGGGGACACTGACAACTGCCACCAGACAGCTCACAGGCCTTGGGGACACTGACAACTGCCACCAAACAGCCCCAAACAACCCTGGGGACAGTGACAACTGACACCAAACAGGCCTTGGGGACACTGACAACTGCCACCAAACAACCTTGGGGACAGTGACAACTGCCACCAGACAGCTCACAGGCCTTGGGGACAGAGACAACTGCCACCAGACAGCTCTTGGGGACACTGACAACTGCCACCAGACAGCTCACAGCCTTGGGGACAGTGACAACTGCCACCAGACAGGCCTTGGGGACACTGACAACTGCCACCAAACAACCTTGGGGACACTGACAACTGCTCCTTGCCACAGCACAGCAGCCACCATGTGGGACAGGCACACCAGGGTGGCTCCCACTGCTCCCACACCGTGCCAGGACTGGGCACACCTGGGAACTCCTGGTGTCCCTGTGTGCCCTCTGCAAACACTTCCTGTGGTTTGGTCACTCCAGGGATTTTTCTATGCCCTTTGCAAGGCTGAGCCCATCATCTGACCAGTGCTTTTTGGGTGCAAGTGCATTCCAAGCACTCCTCTGGATACACAGCCCTAAACTAGGGTGGATTTAGGGCACAGAGGTGACCCATCCAGGTGCCACCAGCACACCCCATGGCTACAGCTCATTGTCCCTCGCTCCACAGCACTCTGAGCCAGCTGCCAGCCATGCAGGTGATGCTGGGGCTGGCACCTTGTGGGCACTGGAACCCAGCACACACCTCCTGCTGCGTTCCCATCACCACAGGTGTGCCCAGGGCTGCAAGGCTGGGCTGGATGCAAACACAAACACAACACTGCACKGCACAATTTGGATGAACAGGGGCTGGAGGGACAATTCCAGCTCCTGTTGCTGGAGCACCAAACTCTGGGAGAGGGTAAGAACTCAGGAAGGAAGGAGCTCTTGTTTGGAGGGGCTGCTCTGATGCCACTGGCTGGGGCTTTGTTGTGGGGTCCGCTCTGGCAGTAGAAAATGACAGAAATCCTTTATAAATGGCCTCATATTTTACAAGCAGTCTGGGGAGATGATGTCTGGCCACAGAGGTCTAGACAGCTCGGGTTTTCATCCACAGCAGACACGCTTCCTCTTGGATGCAGCTCCTGGAAAAAGCAGCCAGGCAGCTCCCAGTGAACGTGCCTTCAACACTCCCCCTGCCAAAAATGAGGGGAGGAGCCCAAGCATGGCATGGCAGGGGCAGACAAGGGCTTGTGAAGCCCAGTCCCGAGGCCATGGCCAGGAGATGGGTGGGAAATGCCCCACGTGGAACAGGGAGGGAGCTTTCCAAGGATGAGAGGTGGTGCTGGGCAGGGAGAGGAACCTGACTGCCATCAGCAACTCCCATGACCTGGTCAGCAGCTTTTGTTTGGATTGTTTCAGGATTTGTTTCAGTTATTTACAAACCCACTGACTGGTCATTCAGCTTCAGCCACAGTGTTTTGCYTGTGGAGAGCTGGGATTGGAATTTTTGCTGTTCTGGGCTCTCCTCGARGTGAGGGGCTGAGTCTGAAGCTGCCCCAGAGCATCACCCAACAAAGGGATGGGGTCCCCAAGGCACAGAGCCCCCTGCACAGCCTGGCACCTGCAGGGACCCATCCCCACSGGGACACAAACCACCCCAAACCTGCCCAAAATGTGCCACGAGCTCAGGGCTGGGTTTGCCCTGCCTTTCCATGCTCCACACACCAACCCAGCACCTTCCTCAGCAGCCAGACATCCCCCACGGGCTCTGACAGCAAGCTG